TATACAGTCCCACCAGCCCTTGTCTAGCGATCTCTTTGCTTCCTCTTCCGAACCCATCTTCCCTTTGAGGACGGGGTCCCCCCCCCCCCTCCCCTCCCTGAGGTCTTTTGGGGCGGGCCGCGATGTGTCAGAGGGCCATATCTCGCCAAAGACAGCTCCAAGAGGGCCTCCTATGCTCCAAGACGGCCTCCAAGGCGGCTCAAGATAGCCGAAGATAAGTCAAGATAGCTTCCGACATGCCTCCAAGAGGCCCGACGAGGGCCGCAAGACGGCTCCAAGTGCTCCCGGAGCCCACTCAAGACCCCCCAAGAAGCCCAAATCCTTCCCAGACCAGATGAACATCAGTGATGTGTGCCTTCTCGCCTTCTCGCTCTAAATGCGTTAAAGATGGCACCGTGATGACCCAAGAGAGCCCCAGGCACAGGAGGCCCCCAAGACGGCACCAAGAGCGCCCACGACCGACCGCCTCAAGCGCGCCACAAGAGGGCTCCGAGGGGCGATTCCGAAGGCACCAGAGGGGGGACCAAACGTTAGGAACCCTCTCTTTTCACCGACGCCCTCCACAATGGACCCAAGAGGCCCTCCAGGGCCCCCCAGAGGCCCCCAAGAGAGCCCCAAGAGGGCCCCAAGACCCCCCAAACGAGCCCCAAGACGACCCCAAGATCTCCCAAAAGAGCCCCACGAGGACTCCAAGATGCGAGTTGGAGGGCTCTGCCCTTGTCTTCGTTGTCCTCCTCCTCCTCCTCCTCCTACTTGCCCTTCTGGTATGCCTGATTATTTTCCTCCTCTTCCTCGTCGTCGTCTTCGTCGTCGTCCTCATCCTCCTCCTCTTCTCCTCCTCCTCCTCGTCTTCTTTCCCTCGCCCCCACGCGGGCCCCAGGGATGGCCCGAAGAGGCCCTCCAAGGCCACCCCCTTGCTTCGGAGATCTCTCTGTTCACCCTGGTTGCCCGCTCTGTTTCACTATACGTTCTCTTCGTCCCTGTTCCCGTCAGCTCTCATGGGCAGGGCTTCTGCATGGGCTGGCGGGGATAGTTACGCGAAGCGTGAAGAACTTCTTCTTCTTCTTCTTCTGATTCTTATTCGTGTTATTATTATTATTCCTCTTCTTCTTCTTCTTCTTCTTCGATTCTGGACGGGCCTCCTGGGGGCCACCTCGGCCTGGGTCGCCTCTGGCGACGCCTGCCGGCAGGAGGGGGGACCGGGAGGCCGCACCTCGACCAGCACCGCCGTGCCCTCAGATCCGACGCCACGAAACACATGCGGCGTCGCGAAAACTCCTGACCGTCGCCCTATAGGCCCCGTCTGTCTGCACCATTCTGCGAGCCGGATCGATCTGTGAGGCTCCCGCGACCCGAAACCGAGCAAACAGATCGCCCGTCGCGACACAACTTCAACGCACGGATCTCGGGGGCAGTGTCCCCAGAGCCCCGACGTCGTGTTTGTTCACGACGTGGACCCTCAGCGGTCTTCCCCGGGACCAGTTTTTCTTCCCGAGTCGTTTTTGACCTTTCCGAGGGCCAAGGGGGCCCCCAGAGGCCGAAAATAGCTATCAAGAAGATGAACCGTTTTTTGTCAAGACCCGAGGGGGTCTGGGTCTGTCGTTGTGAGGGAAACGGGTCCTGAATGTTTTCCTTGTTTTTGGCTTCCCGGTGCCCTCCACGGGCCCTGGGACTGTCATAAAAAGACTCGGGATGAACACCTCGTCCTTAGGGAAGGAAGGCCCCCGGGTTCAGGACCCGTTTCCCTCAGGACCCGTCTCCCCCATGCCAAGTCTGGCCGTCGCTCGGACGTCCATCCCCCGTGCATGTTTCGGTCTCGTGCGTGCTTTTTGTTGCTCGATGATCCAGGATGCTCCTCGATGGCCGTCGTCGAGAAAAACAAGCGCACGTCCGAGCGATGCCAAGAAGTCTTCGGCCGCCCGGCCTTCTTCCTGGAGTAGGCGATGAGCGGCTGCAGAGCAGCGCGGCCCTCCCAACCTCCCAACAGGGCTGCCCCTGCGGGCGCCAAGGCGCCCACCGCGCCCCGCGGGAGGCCTCGCGGCGGCACTGGCCGCCGCCGTCGTCGCAGCGTCGCCTCCGCCGCCTCCGCCGTCGTCGCCGCCGCCGCCGTGGCCGCAGCGTCGCCGCCGCTGCCGCTGGCGCCGCTGCCGTCGCCGGCGCCGGCGCCGTCGTCGTTGCCGCCGCCGGCATCGTCGTGGTCGTCGTCGGCGTCGTCGTCGTCGTCGGCGTCGTCGTCGGCGCACCGGTCGCCGCCGCGAGCCCCAAGTCCATCGCCATGGCGGAAGCGCCGTGGGCTGCGCTCGCCAACTCGATCCTGGGGAAACCAAAACATTCCCTTCGGATCCTCCTCCTCTGCCTCCTCCTCCTCCTCCTCCAACTCCTCCTCCTCCTCCTCCTCCGCCTCCTCTTCTTCTGCTTGTGATTATGCTTATTGTGTGTCTTATTCTTATTATTCTGATTATTCCTATTATGGTTATTATTATTGTCTTTACTTTTATTTTACTATGTTGTTCTTCGTCATAATACTATTGTTTGTATTCTTCATAGTATTAATAGTATTATCAATGTGATTCGTCTTTTTCTTCTCCTCCTCCTCCTCCTCGTCCTCGTCCTCCTCGTCCTCCTCCTCCTCCTCCTCCCCTCTCGTCCTCGTGCCTCCTCCCCTCCTCCTCCTCCTCCTCCTCCTCCTCCTCCTCCTCCTACGTCGGATCCGCCGTAATTTGGCCGTTCTTCTCCGACTTGCATCTGCGTCGGAAGTGCGCCCCAAACGATGCGAAAAAGTAGGGCGGAATTCTCCCCCTCGGATAAGTGGGGCGGGTACTTCCGCCAAGATCAACGGAAACAGCGAGGGCACAGTAGGGCGGATATCGACCATAGCGAGCTTGAGAAGTAGGGCGGACAGATCCGCCCACGGTCGAAATAGGCCGAAGTACGGCGGATCCGCAGTCAGGGGAGCCGAAAGGTGCCAATTCAGGAGCTCCTTGACGAAGAAGCAATCACGAACGTGGGCGCATGCTTCGTTCACCTGTTTGGGCCCGCGGTGGCAGCTGTGGTGCTCTGGGGGGCCCCTTCCGGGCCACTTCCCTGCAGTCCTCGACCCCCCCCCCCCCCCACGCTACCTGCACCTGTTTGGGCCCGCGGTGGCAACTGAGGTGCTCTGGGGGGCCCCTTCCGGGCCACTTCCCTGCCGTCCTCGACCCCCCCCACGCTACCTGCCCCCCCACGTGGAGGTACCGACACCGTGGCCCCCCCCCGGTCCTCTCCTGGGGGGGCGTCCCGACCAGGCTCTGGAGGCGAGCCCGGCCGTCGCGACGAGGGCCTCCCGGGAGGCTCCCACGGCGCAGAGGACGACAAAGGGCTCCCTCCCACGAGGGCCTCCCAGGAGGCTCCCTCCCAGGAGGCTCCCTCCCACGAGGGAGAGGAGCCTCCCAGGAGGCTCCCTCCCACGAGGGCCTCCCAGGAGGGGCTCCCAGCGCTGTCGTGGGCCTCTCCCCCTCGGAGCTCCTGGCCCGCCACGAGCCGAGCCGACCAGCAGCTGCGGGCGGCACCACTCATACTGTAGTGGGAGATAAGCAGGGCGGGCTCCCCTCCTCTCCCTCTCATCCCCTCCTCCTTCCGCCTTCCCCCTACTTCCCTCCATCAATCCTCCCTCCTCATCCTCCTCCTCCTCCTCTCCTCCTCCTCTCCTCCTCATCCCTCTCCTCTCCTCCTCCTCCTCTCCTCCTACCTAACCTCCTCTCCTCCTCCTCTCCTCCCTCATCCTCTCCTCCTCCTCCTCCTCCTCCTCCTCCTCCTCCTCACGCCGGCACGGCGACCTTACGCCGCGGCCTGCGCGGGCCGTCGGCGCGGCACACCGCGCGGAGAAGAGGGCGCCTGCGCGCGACCCCGTTGCGCGGGGAGCCTGCGCTCGAGTGTCCGCGCGGTCAACCCCCAGGCGTGCGACGTCCTCGTCTTTCCGATGCGGGGTCTCCAGAAGTCCCGACCCTGTCCTCAAGGCCGGTTTTCCATCGGGAGCAGTCTCTTGACGGTCCTGGGGCCCAGCGAGGGCTCCCGCAGGCCGACACCAGCCCAAAGGCTCCCGTCGTGCCTCCTTCAAGGCGCGAGCATATCTGGGGAAGGGGTCGAAGGGTCGCGCCTGGCTCTGGCCCCATGTGGGGAGGTCGGTGGCCGGCTGCACACACGAGTGACCCTATAGGCAACAGAAATCCTTAGTGCGCAGCTTCTAGGGGGGCCCAAGCCCAAGCCCGAGCGCACAACCCTGTCTGGGCCCCGTTATCTTGGCGCGAGCATGTTCGGGTCTTTTGAAGGGGCCCTGGGACACACAAATAAATACACACAAACAAAAAGATCCCCCATATCTTCCAATATTTTCTGGGTTTTTGTCTTCCCCGCCAATTCCCATATTTTTCCATATTTCCCTGGGAATCGACGATGAATTGTGTCTGTGTGTGTTTTTCCCCTCCTGATCTTTGGGCGGGCCATAGCTCGGCTCTCTAGCGGCCGCTCGGGGCGATCTGGGCATCCTCGGGACGCCCTCGGCGAGGCTCCACTGCTGCAGAGCACCCCGAGGACGGAAGACCACCGAGCGCCACCGAGCACGCCCGAAAACCTCCCGTCGTCATTTCTTGGCCCGGTAGCCGAGGCGGCCACCCAAACATCCTCACGCCCACGAGCTGAGCTGCCACGTGGTTGCCCTGGCGAGCCTGTCAGTGCTTTCTTCAAGAGGCGGGCATGTCTGGGCCTCGTTGTCTGCCGGGGGCCTGCTGACCCAGGTCAATCCAAGCCCGTGTCAGCCGGGCAGCGCAGGATCCTGCAACATCCTGCAAGATCCTCCAATCTCATGCAGGATCCTGCGCGCTAGCCCGGGTCCATGCGCCCCTGGCTCTGCAAGATCCTGCAAGATCCGGCGCCCTGGCTGGCCCCCGTTTGCATTGAACCACGCCCCGAGATGCTCGATTCTTTCGTCGCCCACCTCGCCCGGGGACCAGCCCGTGGGCGAG